TCCTGCAAGGCCACACCCAAGTTGAAAGCCTTGGAGGCCGCCATACTCCTGGTCGAGTGCGCTCTGACCCCCATAGGTGACGGGAGGCCAGAGGACTCGTAGGCTAGTGAGATGGCCTCGACCACCCACCTACTCATAGTCTGCTTGGTCGCCGGAGATCCTTTCTTTGGTGGACCAAAGCAAACAAACAGCTGATCTGCCTTACGCCATGGGGCAGCTCTGTGTGCGTAAGCTTCCAGTCCTCTAACTGGACAGAGCAGATTAAGCCTTCTTGGCCTACTTCCTGGAACGGAGGAGGAAAGAATGCCTGAAGTACTATGGGCCTTGGCGAAGAAGTGGGCACCTTAGGGACATACCGACCCTCGGGTAAAGGAATGCCCTAACCATGCCTGGAGCAAACTCCAGGCATGAAACAGAAAGTGCCTGCATATCCCCGATCCTTTTAAGTGAGGAAATAGCAAGGAGAAAGATAGTATTGAGCGTGATAAACTTGAATGAAACTTCTTCTATGGGTTCAAAGGGTGCATTGCATAAGCCCTCCAGAACCACAGCCAGGTCCCATAAGGGCACCTTAGTGCGCTTAGTGCACTTTAGTCAGCCTCAGGGTGCCACAGAGGAAATGAGTGATAAGTGGGTGTCTTCCCAATGATTGACCACCCAAAAGGGCATGGTAAGCAGCTAAGGCCGCCACGTATACCTTCAGAGTAGAGGGAGATAACCCTGCGGAGAATCGCTCCTGCAGAAACTACAGAACTGTACCAATTGGGCAGTTGACTGGGTCTTGCAGTCGCTGTCCGCACAATGAAGTGAAAAGCTTCCACTTTAAGGCGTACTTTTTCCTAGTGGTGGGAGCTCTGGACTGCAGTATAGTCTCAACAACCTCAGTTGAGAGACCAGATGCTAGGAGCTGTGCCCCCTCAGGGGCCACGTCCATTCTCGAAAGCTGAGCGTGCATGCTCCGCTCCTAAACAAACAACACACAGATCATGTGTATCCCCCGCTGCCAGATAGCGTGGGCAGGGAGAAACACAACGTCTGTAATGCCGTTCGCTCGCCATAGATTTTTGCTTAGACTTTGACATATTCTTTTGAATACTTGTGGACTGACAGACAACAGTAAATAGACTTACACATACACAGAGCGCTACTGAAGAGCAGAAGCTAACTTGCACTCTGCCGGATGCACTTTTATACTTCCTGGTGCTCACGTCACCCCGCTCGTGACATCTCGCTGCTCCATTGGACTGATTTTACACGTGCTTCAGAACGCGGTCACGCAGGGACGTTCAAAAATCACAAAGTGATTCTCGACGCAGCTCGAGTTACTGAAGGGGAACTGCGTTTCGATAACTTTTGCTGTTCAGACTCCAGAGAAATTTCCTTCACTGGTGCCATGTAACTTGTCATGTAAAACTATATTTCTATAATGCAGGGACCGAATTTTAATTTTTTGGCCAATTTTGGTTTTCTCATCAGCCATCAAACTTCATTTTGCATTATTTTTAGAGTAGTTGTATATTTCTATATCTCTATGACAATGAGAATATTTCTGGGTTTTTTTCTCTCCTCAGCTTTCAGAAAAATAATACAATTATAATGTCTCAAATTCTGCAAGATCCATTTTCCCTTAATGTGTATTTAGTCATAATGGAGACTACTTTGTCAAACTGCTAATTAATTAGAAATGGCTGAAAAATGTCAAATAATATACTGTTTGTCTTCTCTTACTGTTTGTCTAATTTTGTCTTCTTTTGTGCTTACATGCATCAATAGAAGTGTGCTTTGGTTTATCTGTGGTAGCATTTCTAATGTTATTGTTAATTAATTTTTTGTAATGTTTTGTGTATGTATTGTCAATAATCCATACAGGTGTATCGGCAGGACTGTGATACATTTGGCATGGTTGTGAAGATGTTGGTGGCCAAGGATCCATCCTTGGAGAAGCCAATTCAACTGTCTCTGCATGAAAACCTGAGGGACTTTGGCATGCGTTGCATCAAGGCCATGGAGCAGTTCATCCATGAATATGATTCCAGAGAGCTAGACACTCCATCCACCTCCCAACTACATTCCATAAAGTGAAGACTGCAAACACATGGCAAAATCCAGCTACTTATTTGCTTCTCATGCACGCTATCCATTCAACTTTAAAATTTGCCCCTCTTTATCACACCTTTAGCTATATCAATGTTTCTTTAAACAATTTTCATATATATGGTCAAAAAAACGTATCTGTAATCCCACAAAACCAGTGAGAAAAGTCAACAGAAATTCATGAATATGAATAGTATGAATATAATAGACATGTCTGCATTTTACATTTTCTGCCTTATATTGCTTGCAAAACGTAACTACAACATCTGTTCCTTGTTGAGCAAGAAGCTTAACATATTGGTGGTCATCAGAGTAAAAAATACAGAATTTGTTGTATATAAACTTAAAACACACATCATGTGACATCATGTGAATTGTGATAAAATAAAGTGTTACCATAGTATATACAGTATATCTGTCTACATGTTTTACAAATAAAACTGTCTTCCACTAACCTGCAGAATTGTAATACATTATAAGTAAGATTACAATTAAGATGTCATACAAGGTTGTGTGTAAATTCACAGGAGAGGGTTATCCAAAACTGGAGAAATGTTAAAAGAAACACAACCTTAGAGAAAAGTTCAGATTAAAAAAGTTTCATCCTATTTCTGACAATTTGTCCAGAAAATAAAATATTAAATATGCTTTTTAATGGATCACTTCGATTGTAATAATCTTAAACTTCATTAAAGGCATTGTTTGTTTGTTAATAGTTATTTAATTCACATACAAGACAAGAACTGGGGATACACATGCAGTCACCGTAAAATTCTACACTCTACAATATGATACAAATAATGCATCTGAGGATACAAAATATAGAAATATTTAAGACAATATTTACAGAACTTTTACAATACTACACTGTTTTTATATATAGCTTTTTATCATTAGGAAAACATTTAATTTTAAGATATTATTTGTAAATGGTATTTAAATGACTTTGGAAAAGACAAAATATTGCATTTAAAACCATAACCAACATCGCCCAGCTAAATGATACACATTTTTAAAAAGTTAAATTTGAAAATGACATTAATAAAAATAAGTTGAAAACCATGAAGAGCGCATACTAGGAAACTATTTAGAACAATTAACAGTAAGCAGCGTGGGGATTATAGCAAACCGTATTGCCACAAAATTATACCAAAACTTAAGGGGAAAAAAAGAAAGGAGAAAATGTAATCCCAAAAGTTCAAGAGTAACGCAACTGAACAACGATTTAAGACAATTCAGCGTAAATTAAAAATCCATATGCTAATTCTGAATGTTAAGTGCCCACGGAGTCTTCACTTCTTCTGAAATGAAGTTATATCACAGATTGTTATTGCACAAATTTCTACAAAACAAAATTCACATTTTATCAACAGATAAAGTTAAATGTGCTGTTAAAATAAACAGAGGTTAATACTTTTGATCATTGTGCAATCTCCAGTCACAGTAAACACATGAGTTCAGATCAGAACATGATCTATTACATATGTAATGACTGAAACATGCTTCAATTGGATTTCAACCCATAGTTATAGGATAATTGAGAACAAACACATGCAGTACACAACAGAAGTGAGTACACCCCTGTGCATAAAAAATTGTCACCTGTCAACAATTGCGTTATTTCTATATGTAGTGCATTTCCTCTTATGAGCAAAAATTATTACTTTAGAAAAATTATGTTGAAAATACAGGCCCTTCAAAAACAAAAAAGTGAATAGGGTACAACAAGGCTAAAGGCACAGCTTAAGAAAAATGTGTTTATTGCTACTATCAAAGTGTCAGATTGCCAAAGAAAAACAAAAACAAAACAAAACAAAAAGCCTATATAAATAATATCTATTAGACTAGTATATATGTGTAATATATGTAATATCAATTACATATATATGCAATATACAGTATGTAATATAATTTATACCATATTTTTTTTTAAATATGATGGTTTCATTATAAATATGGTGATTATCTCTAAGGACACCCAAATTAATATATTGTATTTATCATCTGAATCTAACTGTCATCATGTTAATTATTGTGCCTTTATCCCCAACAGCAGGGACAGCAGCACTTTTTACCCAATACTTTTACATATTCTTCTGTTACTGTAAAAACGGTTGCTTTAATTATCTTAAACAAAACTGAAAAACCTTAACAACACCTGTCTCAAAATATAGTCAATTGTAGCGTGTGGACCAATCAAACACACAATTTTTCATTTGATTTAACAAATCAGTTATTCATTAGATTAACAAATCGTCACAGACCCCTCACCCAATAAACTGGGTGCCAGGATGTCTGCGAACGACACCAGGCCCCCCCTGGTCCCCATGACAAAAAAATGCTGATATAACTGGTTTTATGGCCCCAAAGGAATGCGAGTAGAGAAAATCACTACCTTTTCCATAGGAAGAGACACAATGCACAGTAGAAATGGACTCTTCTCTAATTAATTCATGGGAAAACCTTTCTTTGAATGAACACACATATCCTTCACGTCATTGTGTATGTTGTCTTTGATATTTTATACTGTTTTATGTAGGCTTATGATGGAACCACTCATTCCTGTCATCTTACCTATATGTAATCCTACCATGTTTAGTATCTATGAATTAGTCTTCTGGTGATCTAAACGAGAGTGTATATGTTGGTACATAGGCAATATATTAGTGTTCTGAGAATCTTTAGTCATTTCGATTCAAGTTCCATATATAAATTACCATGCTTTCACACAAAGGGTCATAAAACTCCCCAGTATTTCCAAACTCCCGCTTGGGATTTCGGCCTTTCTCATTGGACAAGCCCATCTTGAGAGGCGTGAATCTTCTCAGACCTTAAAGGCCTCACACAAGTGACCCGTCTTCGAGTCTGTGGTTCTGTTAGGTTATTAGAAGATGTGAGCTACAACGCTCCAGGACACCCTAAGTTTGTGCCAGGCATCGGCCTTGACTTTCCCATTCACCAAGATTCTCTGACTCAAACTGGTTCTTTTTCATCAACCAACTTCAGCAAAGATCAACTTGAACCTTCAGATTGCATCAAGCCTCTCTTTCAGACAGACGAGACGTGCAAGTATCAAACTTAGTCTTATTAATGTTACGAAGCTATACAGCAAGATGGCGCCGACGCTGATGGCTGCCTCCGTGGCGTGCTCCGCAGTTGTTTTTATGTTTTTGTTAGTTTGTCCTGTCTTTAGTTATATCCCTGCAATCAGTTTCACCAGAGATGAATTGCTGGACATTCGGAAGTACACACCACCCGATATTTCACCGGTTTTCGACTATTCTGATGTTTTCGACTATTCTGCTCGTGAAGCTCAGGCAGCGCGGATTCAGGACGCCGTTGCCTAGCATTCATCTGGCGAACCTCCGCTCTCTACCCAACAAAACAGACAAACTCCTTCTGCTCTCCTGGACAAATAAGGATTTTTCTAACTCTGCTGCTCTGTGTTTCACAGAAACCTGGCTGAAAGACGCCATTCCGGACAGCGCGTTGAGTCCGCCGGGCTTTTGCACCTTTTTACAAAGGTGTGTTTGAACTAAGAAACTGATGTTCCCTTCAGGCTTGAGATCTCCTGAATGGTACCATAGCTTCATGCTTTATTTTCTCTCCTCTTTAGTGCTTAAGCTTTAACCCTTTCCTATACCAACTGTATGTGTGTGTGCGTGTGTGTGTGTGTGTGTATGTTAGATTAGTTTAAGTGTTTATGTAGTATGTTAGACTAGTTTAAGTGTTTATGTAGTTAATAAAGTCTTAACTTGTATCACACTCGACGTTGTTCATTGTTTGCTCATAACTGGAGTCCCTTAATCATGCAGATTTATGCTACAGGCTCTGTGTAGAATTGTACAGTAAGAAAGTTATTTCCCTTAACCAGGAAATTAACGTTCTTAGAATTGACAGACAGTTGACCCTGAGAGGTCAAGTAAATACTTACAGCAGATCTAAATATTTATAATTAATTATAACTAGTTATGATTAATTATTCATATTTCCCCATGAGCTGATTCGCTACACAATTTTATTTATTATCATTTGATACATACATTTACAACCGTAAATAAACAAACAAACAAATGAATATTAGATCAAAGTAGCCCAGAATTTTCGTGTTTCTTTCTGCGAAATTTCCATGTGCATAGTCAAACTTGGTTGTTAAGGAAAGTGCTGAAGTGAATTTTTGTGCCATCTAGTGGTGTAAAGGATAATGAAGTCAAATGTGGCTTTTACCCCAGTGCGCCTTTAGCCCTATTGTACTCTACATATGTAATGACAGACACACAAGTTGGAAAATATGTGGTCATTGAAACAAAACGTCTCAGGTTACGTATGTAACCATGGTTCCCTGAGAAGGGAACGAGACACTGCGTCCTCTAGAGGTCTGGGGGAACGCTTTCGTCGAGACCGGTGTCTGAAGCATACATCTAAACACGACAATAAAATTGGCAGGTGACAGCCTATGACGTCATTACCGGCGCGACCACAAAAGGGCACCGGGAAAACTCATCATCCGCTTCTTCATCTGAAGCTTATGTCCGAAGGATGGCGAGGACTCGAGGACACAGTGTCCCGTTCCCTTCTCAGGGAACCATGGTTACATACGTAACCTGAGACGTTCCTTCCAAGGAAACTTCGAACTGGATCCTCTAGAGGTCGCTTTGGGGAACGGTATACCCACGCTGACAAGCTGAGTGGAGTGCATGCCAATACTAAGGAGAGCACTACGCACCAACTCAACCAAGTTAAGGGATTTGCCCCTAGGGACGCTTTGATGGCTGTCAGTGACATCATCCCCTATGGCCAAAGGCCTGAGCTTATGTGCCAAAGAACTTACCTGTGAGGGGCTGGCTTGAGGAAGCCTGGGCAAAGCTCAAGGCTTGGAATCAGAGTAAAAGGATTCCTTAAGGGGATGCGGCCGAGTTTCAGGGCTGACCTAAACCCATATCTTGGCCTATCACCCAGGGGGCTACCCTCTGCTCTTAGAACGAGCT